ATTCGGCCTTGGTTACATTGGGTTATGGACCTAAGATAATATACCAATTCTGGATAAAAACACGTCTTATGAACAAAACGACTTCAAAAAGAGCACTTTAGAACATAATCATATTTTTTTGATTTTATCAGTTCAGCAATAAGAAAAATGCGAGATGTCGGACTCAGTAGAATGAAAGGCGATACTACTCAGAGGCGAATACATAATGGGAAAATAAAAAAGTAAAAGTAACAGAATTGTACAGAGCAGAACCTGAAGAATACGGCAAAGAGGATTCAGGTGAGAGACTAGCAAGTAGGAAGCGCGGAATACTTTATGTGCAAAAAGAGCTGGTTCATAAAGTTGATTGCGCTGATCTATATAACATTGCTAAAGGTCTCAATAGAATACCCATACAAATAAGTGCATCGCTAGCTAACTGGTTCTTCTATAGATCAGTGCCAGTTGTGGCTGCAGTGGGAATATTGTAAATAGTGGCTTGCAGCTCATTCTCTGCCAGAGTAGTGAGCAAATGTATGGATTTTATGGAAGTCTTTGCCATCGGGGTCACCTCATTTGCTGCCGAAAATGTTGCTCAAATAACGAGGGGGTTTTCAGAATATTGAAGATTCCTTCAATTGAAGCTTTTTTCTAGGAAAGACAGATAAAAGCTTTTGAGAGTGCGCCCTTTTAAGGCAGATAACGTGGATAAGGATTATTTTGCTTCTGGTGACGATAATCGCAGGATCAAAGAGCAAGCGGGAAGGAAAAAGAAATTTGTATGAAGATTATAAAGGATGAAAAAAGAGGCTGAGTAAAGAAGGACGGGCTAGAAAAAACTCAATAAAAAGGAGCAGCAAAATTCAGGACTGATTGGTTAAATCGCCTATCAGCAGCACCGGATTACCAATCCGACGTGTTTCTGCATCAGAGATGGTCTGATAAAATACATACACAAACGGATATATGGTACATGCATATAAGGGGATAGTAAGATAGGAATGGATGTCTAAAAACTGAAATTAATAAAGGAGATGTATAACTTATCAAGTGACACGCCAGCCGTCAAAGTATTGTTAAAACGTACACACATACACACACACGCAGACAAACATACCAACACAGCGGTTTACAAATAAACAGAGGCACAATACATAGCCTGAATGAGGCGATGAGTAGCTATACTTTTAAACCGAAGAGCGAAAGTAATAGCTGGCAAATGAATTAAAGCCAAAAAGAGAAGAGAAAAGAGGGAAGAATTGATAAGAAATACTTGGAGTGAGAGGTGATGGAAGACGGAGAGAACAAACTCTATGAGAAGTACACCATTTTAGACTTAATCTTCGCATATTTGTGCATATAAAAGCACAAATGCAAAAATGCAAACATGTCTGCCAATCAGGAGAAACGGAATGGACTAGGAATGGGTGTGAAGTCATCTCAAACGCTATGCACATCCACCTCCATCAAAGTAGCCTCATCACCGGGCGTCGGCGACATAGGCGATTCGTCGGCAGGAAAAGCTAACAAGAGGCTTGGTTCAGAAGCTGGACCTGGGGTCAAGTTCTGCGGTGGAGAGCGTGGCGAAGAAGGTGGCGGCGGTGGCATCATCAGACCGACAGGGGCAGTTTGCGTGGCCGGAAGGTCAATTCCAGGTAAGACTGTTTGGTCAGTAATTGAGTCTTGGACTGAAGGCACACCAATGGAGGAACCATGTAAGATTTGCGCGTGAATTGGCTCGTCAGGTGAAGGCTGTTTAATCTTCAGGTGAAGCATAGCTTCATGTGCATAAAAACGGACATCACTATCAGTATCTACGGCTAATTGATGCAAATAGGGAGTTAAGAGGTCGAGCAGAGTCTTCTCATCTAAATTAGCGCCCAACTGCATCAAGGCTTGGGCTACCTTAAATCCAAAAGAAAAGTGTTTAAAAATAGGCATACTATCATTTACAATGACATTATCTGATTATCTAGGATAAACTTTCAAAATCAGCTGGATAACAGAGATAACGCTTAAGTGAAACAACGGCACTATTGATAAGCTTAAAACTAAAAAAATCAGATTGAGTTAGGAGGACAAATCGCATCAAGGCTAACACGAGTAAAGTACAATGCATTTAAAGTATAACGAATTACAAAATCAGTTTAAATGAGTTTTCAGGGGTGGTAAATGCTATGATTGCAATGAAATGAAATAAATTTATTTAAAGAATTATCTCTGAAAAATACATGTCTGGTCGACCTGCCTTAGAAAAAACATATGAAATAGCTACATCACAAAATTCGCAGAGGAAAAGCAACTCGATTTAATGGGATTGAAGAGTAAATGGAGTATCTAAAATAAACTAATTGCAAATCACAAAATTACCAATAAAGGTCGGATACTTAAATTGATATGCATGCTTGAGTGAAAAGTGCATAGAATCAGGTTATTCTATATAACTGCATCCTGAATTACACTTTAAATTTTATTACACGTAAGTAAATCTTACTTAACAGCAAAAAAGTGAGGTCGAAACAGTGTTTAAAATTATATGCTTGAAGCAGAATGCCTTTGGAGAATGTATCAAGCTATCGAGGATAAGCTCCTCATAAATCGCTGATGAGGCTAAGAGCCTTATTTTGAGCTCGAAAAAGAAACGCACAAAGAAAATTTGTCTGGCATTAAAAGATATTGAAGGAATGAAGACCAAGATGGTGTGACCTTTTGTGTGATCGCAGTCTCTTTTTGTTGTATATAAGTTGTTTGACCTTGTTTTCGCAACTTGGTCATATTGGTAAGAGGACTTAGAGGAACGCACCTAGTCCGGAGTCCATTGTATGCATCATAATTACCAGAATAGGACCGTGGACGTGGTACTTTCCCAGACGCATTTTACGGAGCAAGAGGGTGACTCAGATAGGACCCAGGGAAGGACTACGTAACAATATGACAGACTCTGGTCAGCATTCCCAG